AAGCCTAGTTTAATTTAATGGCTTCCATTAAACAATAAATAGTGGCATATTTATTTTAACATACAGTGTGTAGGTAAAAAGATGAGAAATAGGTTTTTTTTTTTTTTTTAATATGTCAAATGATAAGTTATATAATAGAGAATTATTCTTTTCTCTTATTCTCAAATTTCATTTTGCTTATTGTAAAATTTAAACTTAAAATTTTTAATATGAAAATTTAAACTCTTTATTACTTTAATATCCCTTATGAGACATGAGAAATAATTTGTTGCTTTTTATTGTGTAAATCAAATTTAAAAAAAAAAAATGAAATCATTGTTCTCTCCAAACTTCTTCTTTTTGGTCTCAAAGACCCAAATTTTAGAAGTTCTATTTGCAGTTGGAAAATTTTACCCATTCACTTATTTAGCAAATAGGCCAATTTTGATTTGTATGTGTAAAAGTAGGATTTCATATCCTATTTATGGTTAATTTTTCCCATGCCACATTGTGAATGGATATTGGAGGTTTAATGTTTTTCACTCGAGTGATTTCCTTTTTTATTTGTGGATTGTGTTTGGAGATAAGCGTATAAATGTCTTTAGCAGTATTAATGTCCTAATTATTATTACTTGAATCCTCTTCAGTTTAGATTTAAGTTTTAACTTTTAACTTTTAAGTTTGAACATTTGAGAGAAAAATAGACTATCATTTACATATTCTCATAATTAGATGTACTATTTAAAATGTAATTGTTGAACCAGTATTGGAATAAAGTAGCCATTTTGGGAGGAGAGGGATTAAAAAATTATTTGACTTGAATTACACAATTACTGTTATCATGCTCCACTAACTTGGCAGTCATGGAGTAGCAGGGAGAAATGCCACCTAAGGCTGGCTGGAGTAACGGCCTAGCCGTCCCCTTCTCGGGCATGACTTGTTTTTCTTTTGTTCCCTAAACTCAATTAAAATTATCTAGATGTTATTAATGATAAAAATAATATCTATTTTTATATTTTTATATAAATTTTTTTAAAAGATAAAATTAATACATTTTATCATTAAAAATATTAAAATATTTAATCATAAAAATTAAATATATAAAGTATAATATAAATTTTAATTTTATTAAATTTATCATATAATTATTATTAAACATTTTAATATTTTTAACAATAAGACAGTTCAATTTTTATTTTCTTTTTTTTTTTAAATATAATTAATATGAAATAACCTGTGCTCATAAATTAGAGAAAAAAAAAAACTCTCATGCTAAACCACTGTTGAGGGATGTAGCATATCCACTGTTTGGTTTTGATATATTTTTTTGATTTTACATTATTCTTCTGCTCTTTAATTTACTTTACTGAGCCCCGTTTGGTATAACAGTTTTGGGATAGCAGTTAGTGATTTTACCTAAACCGCTAAATATATGTGTTTGATAAACTTATATATTTTGAAATCATTATAAATAAAATATTTGATAAAATTTTTATTTAACGGCTTGAAACTAACGAATAGCGGTTAGGATCTAAACCGTTAACAGATTGAAAAAGCTAGCTTATGTTGCTTTTTATACTAAACTACTAGCGGATTAGAATTTTTTAATTTTATTGATAAATTTATCTATTTTAATTTTTTAATTTTTGGTCACAATTTTTAATTAATATTTATCTAATAACTTTCAATTTTAATTTTTTATTTTTAATAACATTAAGTGATTATAACATTTTTTTAAAATTAATTTATCATAAAAAAATATATTATCTTAAAAAACAAAATTT